GGGGGGCGTTTTGAGGTGTTTTTGGCACAGCTCAATATTCAACTGAAAAATGTGCAAGCGTGCTAAGTTAATTGTTTTTTTTTTATATTCTCCTAATCTGTAAATGCAGTTTTCTTCCTTAGTTCGTCTTGTTTCAGTACCAATAGCACTGGCTTACAGCAAAAATGTCTCAATGGATGCCACTATCCAATCGCTATATAGAATTGCTCGCTGATTCCGAAAATCTAGTTAATTTTTTACTCTATGGATAAGTTTACGAGAAAACTAGAAAAAAGTTGAGTATGCAGTTTTTTAGCCCATTCAATTTTAGTATAATAAAGTGTAATGTTTTAGGTAGCTAGGACTTACCCATTGATTTTTAGCATTTTTTTTTTTGTTGAAGGTGTCGCTCATTTTCTTAATATATAAAATAATGTTTAAAATTTTTTTTATATGGAAAAAATGTGCGACACACCTTCAACAAAAAATCAATGGTAAGTCCTAGCTTCCTCATACTTGCACTTTAGTATACTAAAATTGAATGGGCTAAAAAACTGCATACTCAACTTTTTTCTAAAGAGCGTAAATAAAAATGGCAATATTTGAATTCGCAGAATTTTCTTTAATTTTCCACGAGGTTTGGAACTTTAATTTTCCACAAATTCAAAAAATCGCGAAAAATAAAATAAAAAATATTAAAAAAAAAATTGCCCGTATTGTAAAAAATTTGCTGTATTATTGACTGTTTGTATGTATGTAGGTATGAAATTTGTCAGCGAAACCAAAAAAAATCGTTGTACCTGTTTATTTTCGAACCTTAAGTTTACAACTTCAAATCGATATAAGATGGAAATGAGAACCAACTTTTACAAATGCTTTGGTATTTATGCATATTTTGACCTCTTTTAATGAACGAAATGGGTCTCACTCAAATCACTTTTTGAGTGTTGCACTGTGTAATTTACAAGAAAAAAAATTCGTAGAATTCAGAAAAGGTTGTGGTGATATTTGAAAATTTTCCAATTTTTTGTATTTGTGAAAATTTGTATAGTCCGAAAAAATGTGATATTCGAAAATTAGTTTAATAAGTTACAAGCAAGAAAATTTGTATAATTTGAAAAAAATTTGAATTCAAAATTTTTTAAATTGATAATTTACGCCTTGAGATTAATATAAAACATTAATGTCTTTTGTAAAATTCATATAAAATGCGTAGCGTTCGAAAAAGTTGTGATGTTCGAAAATTATTGAAATATCCAGTTTACAAGCCTACCATTAAAGGCATTAGAGAAAGTTGTGTCATTGTAGATAATGTTCAAACATTATTTTAATGATTTACAAGCCATCTTCACACCACAGCAAAGCTTGAAGTTTTTGTAAAATGTATGAAAAATGCGTAGAATGCGAAAAATTTATGAGGTTCTATGAAAATTTGTGTAATTCGGAAAAACTATAATGTTCGGAAATTATTTAAATAAAAAGATGTAATGTTCGAAAATATTTAATTAAAATGCGGTTCAGAAACAAAAAAGACTAATGCATTGTACTTTTACGAATTCACTCTTTCTGTTCATTTTTTATGAATTCGAATATGTTGGTTATTTTTATATAAAAGTAAAGCTCTTTATCTAACAAATACCATATAAATCCACATTTCAGACTGTACAAAAATTATAAAAATTCCACAAACTTTTTATCCCAATTCCAAGTATTTTAATTTTAATTTCTGGAATAATTTTTGACATGCAGTTTTATAGCTTATTAAATTCCATACAAAGTATTGGTTTGTATTAAAAAAAAGCGCATAACACTGTCAGAAAAAAATTATCAAAAATCAATGCGATTTTTTAGCAATTTAAATCTGTCACTTTATCATACTAGGCTTTAGTAAGCTATAAAATTACATACCAATTAATTTAGAAATTCGTGTTTTAAACACATGGAAATGGGATGAAAACTTTGTGCAATTTTTGTTAATTTGTGTACAAAGTTTTAAATTTGGATTTATGTGGTGTTTGTTAGGAGCTGAACTTTAATAAAAAATTAATGAACTTAAAAAAGCAAAAGAGAAGTAGTCAAAACTGCTTAGAATTTATTTATTATTTATTCAGGTTCCGTGCTTACATATACACATAGATGGACACGCACTTCACTATTTTTACATTTCTACTAAACCATTTTTATTTATTTATTAAACTATTGCCAAACGCTTATAACAATTAACCTCAAACCCAAATATTTTGCAAACGCCTCCTTCTTTCTTCTTCCCTTATTCATAAAATTCAGCTATTCGCGCCAGAACTTGCTTTCGACTAATTCGAATAAAAGCAATGAAGAGCAGCAGCAGCAAAATCAGCTGCAACAACAACAACAGCATCAACATCAGCATTATGTGCAGCAACGTTTGCTTGAGCAGCTGGATACCCCCGCTCCTAGCCATTACCGCGCCCAACAGCAACCGCATCACCGCTCCACAACAGCGCTACCAACGGCAGCAGCACTAACAACGAGCAACTTGCAGCAATTACAACGTCAGCAGCGGCAACAGGAAGAAGCAGCACAACAACAGCAGCGCTCAACTCAAACACAGCCGCAGCTGTTTCGGTCATTGGGCGATAGCAACAGCAATAATTGCAACAATTTGAATTTCGAACGCAATGCAAATGACAACAAATACATGCGCACCCTGCAGCGTTCGCATATTAATCGCTATCAGCAGCAGCAACAACAAAATCTTGGCCTCACAAACTCATTGTATACCAATCACAATAACTTGTATCAGTCATGGTTACCAGAGGCGAATAACGATACCAACAATGTTGACATTGACGTTTATGATGCATACAACATCATTGATAGCGACTTGGCCGCACCATATGCGCACTTAAGCAGCAACATGTGTACGAATTCGAGCAACATGCTGCGCAACATGAATGTCAATTTCGGCAATAGTCCGCACTACCAACGCAACAAATTGCTGACAAAGCCCAGTTGCCGTGGCACTGCTGCCGAAGCCATGGAGCAACACAATCCGAATAGGGCGCCACAATCGCAGCAGCAGCAACAACAACAACAACATCAACAAATGTTGTCGCAGCAACAGTTGGCGCTATGCGCGCAACAGCAGCTTGATCAATCGACTTTGCGGCCCATGCGTAACATGCCCGCCTACACGCAAGCGCGTTATCTGGATTTACTGCCAGCCACAGTCAGGGAAGCTGTGGCCAGCACAGAGGTGCAATTGCGCAATCGTGATCGCGTCGATATGCTGCTACGCACCGTAACCGCCGACGATGAGGAGGATGTAGGAGCACTGGCGGCGCCAGGTGTCGGCAATAACACCGCCTATAATGCGGGTTACATGCCGACCGCTAATGAGACGCTGTTGATGGATAGCAATGAAATCGGCAATAATACCCCAAATATTGATCATGAGAATTCAAATGAGCCAGATGGCGTCGATGCCGCATTGAACGCGGACGCGAATGAGGCGCACGACGAGGAGGAAGATGACGACACCACATCGGAAGAGATTAAACGGAATTTGCTTGTTAATGCATTAAAAAATGATAAATTCACCACAAAATTCTATGAGTCCATAAAAGAAGATGTTTTCCGACGCCTCGAACGCATGTTGCTTGAAAAAGAGTCGGCTGAGAGTAACTGTCAGCGTGGCGCTGAGCAAATTCGTAATGGTTTTGCAGCAGTAAGTGGCGTCGCCAACATTACCAATGCCACAATTGATGGACCCAATGATATGTTAGGTGCCGCTTCGCTGCCGCGCGATCCAACGCGCAAGTTCAATTTAAACGCGCGCATGGGCAATAAACAACAACAACATCAATACCGCCACCAACAACAGCAGCATCAACAACAACACCAACACAATTCTTGCGCGCCACCAGCAAACGCATACCAAATCAAACAGGAGGAAGCTAGTAATGATCACGCAGCTGAAGATGATCAGCACGTTCTGGCATCGGCTGAAGGTGAAACGGATGAAAATAATCGTCGAACTGTTGCCGGAGATAATGCAGAAGAAGATGAATATGGCGTGAATAATGCTGACACGGAAAGCAATAAAGCAGATAATGAGGACGCGGCCGCAGCTGCAGCGGCAGCGGTTGCATTGGCAAACACGGCTAGTGTGGCTCGCATGCCGGGCGCAATACAATTAAGGGAAAATGAACAACCGGAAGAAGATAATGTGCATTACAACGACAACAGCAACAATGTTGTAGCTGGTGATGCGGCAGTTGCGCGCCAAGCACAACCACCAGAGTCTGCTCAACAAAGGCAGCTATCTGGTAAAGATGGAAGAGAAGCTGAAGGAAATATCACCAATTGGCTACAAAATGTTTTCAGTCAGGCGGAGTCGACTGCCAGCAACATATCTACATCCAATATTGGCAAAAAGCGCAAAAATCAATTGGAGGCTATGAACAACAGTGGTGCGGGCGGTGATGCGGAGGCGATGTCGGTTAGTATTTTAAGAAACAAAAAAATGCTCGCATTTTAAGAAAACATTTTTCTACTAAATACATTTTTTCTTCCAGTCCTCTGTCAGCGCCAACAACTCTGCCGAAAACAACTTAAGTCCGACGCATTACACCGATCTTATCGCCTATATAATAACGCGCATACGCAATCAAACGCACCCAAATACACAAATAAACGACACAATACTGGTGGAGATCGCCAAGCTGACCGCCAGCACTGTACAAAATTTCGCACCCACACTTGGAAACTACCAATCACTGGGCACTTCATCACCACACATTTCACCGAAGAAATTTTATATGAAAATCAAAAAACTCAGCGTACCACGGCAACGTGATGAGTTCTTGACGTGGTATGAAAATTACTTGGAAAATCACTTTCCGGGCGCGCGTTTGGAAGCTGAGAGGCGGCGCGAAGAGTTGCGGAGCAGCGGAATCTCTGGAGCAGCACCGATTGGTTTGGAATTGCCGCGCATGTGCGATAAATTGGAAAATCATCACCAACAAGTACAGCTACGCCAGGCACAACAGCACAAACAGCAGCAGCAAGCAAGAAATGCCAGTAACAACGATCACAAAGATAACAGCGATGCAGATTTGGCGGAGGCTGATCAAAATTCTGCTAATAGCAGTAGCAACACTACCATTGAAGAACGACACGACGGTATTATACAACGTGAAAACGAGTTAGAGAACAATGAAAATCCCGATGACGGTGTGAAAGGTGTAGGTACGGGTACATGCAACAAGCATGACGAGCATGATGACGCTGGCGCAGTTGGAGGTGCATATGCTATAATGCCTATAATGTCGGTGGGTAATGCTGCTGCTGCCGCCGCAGCCGCAACAGTTACAGATGATACAATCACTGCGGCACTACAGGAACACGTTTTACTACGCTATGCTTCCGACAGCACAGCAGCTGGCGGCACACCGGCCAATGATTTTACACCACACAATGGCTACACCTAGTTGATGCTATACAGTTATGTTGCGCTGCACTTGCTCATCGCCCTGCTAATCGCTGCCATGTTATTCAGCTGTTTGCCTACGCTGTAGCGCTAAAATGTTTACTCGAATGCTAGTGACTGAATATATTGCTCAGTGTCAACCTTTCCTATATATCCAACAGTTATTAATTAACCCTGCTGAGGCTCAGATAAAGGAGGAAAAAAATTTAGATCTGCGCCGTCTTTCGCATTTATCAGACAAATTTCAAAATTAAACGTTTATATTGAAACAGAGTGAGGAAAGCTATAATTAACATATTTTTATAAGTGCATATAATTTGGTTTTTTATGTCTTACGTCGCGTGTTATCTAAATTTTAATACTTAACGAAAATATATAATTTATATTTTTTATGCTACAATAATTTGGTTTATTCATGTGTGATTGTTTTTACGCTGCATCAAAAATTTCTTAAACATTCCCAAAATCGTCTCACCACATAACAATATTCATAAATTTATCAAAATAAATGTATTAACTCGTAATTTATTATATGTGAATGCACAGCCACATATTCTTGCGTTCGTGTGTACATGTTGGATCTAAATGCGAACCATGCATACATATAAATTTCTGAGTAAATTAAATAAACGAAATTATTCCCCAAATATACATAAATCGTCTGAGCTATTTCTTTCTTACGGAAATAATTACAAAAACGAATTGGTAAGTTAATTTTAAAAACAGGTTTGAGTTATTATTTCGTTGACTTTATTTCTATGATTGCAAAACAATATCACAAAATCTGAAAAAATAGAATAAAATTTAATTTGTCTACTTGTATTCGGCTAACCTGTACTTGTTGTGTTGTTATGTTTATCATGTTTATTTATAAGGGTTTCTCCAAGGTTTCTCGTCGGCTTGGCGTGTGGTATACATGTATAAATATCTATGTATATATTTTTTTAATAAGCAGGTAATAGATACTTAAAATTAACACCGATAATAATGTCAGCATGGAAATCCAACGCAGAATCACTCTTGCCAACAAGTGATACTTTCGACTGAGTAGGCAATTCAGGAGTGAAGTCCTCTCTCGACGTACGAAAACCACACTCCTTAAGTCACTCATCATGTCCGTGCTAGTATATGGCGCAGAAGCATGGACAATGACTACATCCGATGAGGCGGCGATTCGAGAGAAAGATTTTGCGGAAGATTTACGGGCCTGTATGAGCTTTACAACGACGGCGAATTAAAATACAGCGGCTCCGCTGGCTTCGCCATGTCATTCGAATTGACACCGACGCTCCAGCTCTGAAAGTATTCAACTCGGATCCCGCTGGTGGTAGTAGAGGAAGAGGGCAAGCCCCCACTGAAATGGAAAGGTCAAGTGGAGAAGGGCTTGGCTTCACTTGGCATTTCTAATTGGGGTCAGTTAGCACAGAAAAGAAACGACTGGCGTGCTTTGTTGAACTCGGCCTAAATCGCTTAGGCGGTTACAGCGCCATATAAGAAGAAGTAGAAGGTACTGGAAATGCACAGCACTACCACTGCCATGAACGCCATCACCCCGCAGACAAGCGAGGGTAGAGATGGACGCGTGAGTGACTTTGGCTAACGTTGACTCACGCTCATGATGATAATTTTGTAACGAAGGCCCGTTTTTATTCACTCACGTTTACGCACGCTCAAAATGTATTCAACAAAGTGTGATTGATTTTGACATTTCTCTCATAGGAAACAGGCTATAATGTCAAATTGAAATGAATTTTTAACCCATTTGAATTTTTTTTTTTCAAATTTGTATTTGTTTTAAAAAAATTTACACAAAAATTTTTCAAGCAACAAATTTTCTTAATAAACGTGAAATTGTTAAGAGATAAACCGCCGAGGAGAGCAAGTAAGCACATTTAAAGTTTGGTAATAAGTAAATACGTTCGACTTTGCTTAAATATTTAATGTAAGGAAACCAAGATGAAACGGAGCAAAACTTTTGAACGGTGCGCTGTATGCAATAGAAGTCAGGACACGTAAATATTGCGATGTTTTAAACCACCTAGTTGCGAGTTAAGACGGCAGCGATGTAGTGTTGCACTACGTGATTCATCTCGCTTTGTGAAAACCACTTCAAGGAAAGTGATTTCATTTGTTGTCCGTCCGAGTCAAGCACTTTCAAACGAGCTCGTTTATACCCAAACTATTTCGCATGAAAAAAATTTAATTTCAAAATTGTTAAGAGTTAAGCTCTCATAAAATTGGAAACAAATGTAAAATCATACTTTTATAAGTGTCGAATGATGTTTAGGATAAAAAATTTAAATACAAAAATAAAGCACAAAAGCATAAAACTTGGGCAATTAAAAACAAGAAAATTGCTAAAACGATTTTATAAACAATTTGTTTTATTTTATTGACAAAATATATATTCCAGGTAATATAAGTAAAACAAAACTATAGTCAAAATAAAAGCCTTGGGTATCAGTGCTGACAAGATAAATGCATCACTAAGGGTTAATTCGTTTGTTTATACTTTTTGACATTATAGTACCTTAAAAGAGAGCCGCACTGAGTTGTCAATCACACCTTGTTTAATACACCTTGGGCACGCTTTAACGGAATTTTTTGTTTACTTGAAACTTTATATACATATCGACGCCTCCAAACCATACCAAGTCTGACTAAGTCTTAGGAGACTGTAGGTAGGTAGTATATATTATATTTTGATATCTAAGCGAGGGTCTGAAGTAGGGTGACTTGACTCGGGTTTTCCACACCGGTTTCCACCAGTTTTTTTTTAATATCTAGAGGCAGGTTTTTTGAAATCTTGATTTTTCGAATATCGAATAAACCGACTTTGTTTTATCGAATAAGCCGGTTTTTTTCATTTCATACAAATCTTGACTTCTAAATTGAAATTTTCAGATTTTCGAGGTTTTCAGGGCTTTTTCCAGTTTAAGGGAAACTAAATAGTTCTAAAATATATCCTACATTATTTGGAGATGAACAGCATATCAGTGGCAGTAGGCACGACTACGGTGGCAAGATCACTACTCAAATCCGAAAAAAGTCAGAAAAAATGCAATAAAGAATGAAAAAAGTTAAACCCCCCTATAATGGATTCGTACGATGCACGATAAAAGCATGCATTCTGTTATTTTCTATTACGAATTGAGGTTGTCGTATGAAATCCTATAGTAAGCGTAGCTGATTTGTTTTGGTTCACAATAAAAAAGTGACCAAAAACCACAGCCAGTCACAACAATACATCTGTCGGGCGGTTTAAAACGATAATACGAGAACTGATTTCATTCTATACGCTTGCAAGCATTTATCATCTATCGTATGAAAATTCATAATAGGGGGGAAAATAATACCAAACGTGAATTTTTCACTAATTTCTATATGTTTCTTGTGAAAAACTATGTGAAATAAAATATGTGACCTGGTCTACGGAAAGGGGGCTTAGGTGTCAAAAAATCTATTTTCACTTTTTGGTTGATTCGGATGGAAGATGAGATGCTTTTTCACGTGGTGAAAAGCAGAAAATCCCAACTTGCTTAGAAGTGTACTAAAAATTTTTTTTAAATTTTACATTTTTAAATGTTCCACACTAGCAACTTACACGATGAACTATAATAATATTCCGACCAACAACAACACTTACTGGACCAACAACAACACTTACTGGACGTCCGGCGCGGAGAACAATTACGAGATAATGGGCACGTTCAGAAGGCGCAACAGCTCAGAAAATGTTGCGATTGCACCTTCTGAACGCGTTGTTTTGTACTTCTGATCAACTGAACAGTTGCGTGTTAGATGATCGTAATTTTTTTCTGATCATTTGAGACATAATGTTGTGTGTTGTTGAATTTGACAGCTAACGTATCCAGCCGTTCAGAAGACGCATTACGATGACTGATTTTTCAAGCAACGGTTGCGCTCAACTACTGCGTCTTCTGAACCTACCCAATGAGAAACTGACGAAACGAGTTGCTTACTTTTAACAGCTTTTTCACAGAAAACTAGTTTTCGCACGTAAGCTCCCTTTTCGTAGACCAGGTCACATATGTTGCGTGCCAGTCCAAAGTTAAGCCGCATTTTTGACGACTGAAATGATCGAGATGCGTTTCTATATATTTCTCGGCTTGTGCGTAAAAACACAGTTTCACCACATCTGAAAATACTCGACTTGAGTAAAATAGCTGTAAGTAAAGTTGTACCTACCTTTGAAATTAAAAATAACAATCCTCATGAGTGTGGTTAAAAATTTTTTAAAATTCTCTGGATAGTTTATATTTACTTTAAATTGTAGTGTTTAGTACAATGCAAGTATTTTATTTAAAATTTGGAAATTATCACAATAAATAACGACAAAAAAATAAAATAAGGTTTCTCTAAACTTTGCGTTTATAAAAAAAATAGTACTAACTTTAAGGTAAATGTATGTATGTATTTAAGGTATGTGTACCGTCAGATAAAGCGTACTAAATCTTTTCCAGGAATTACTGGCTTTTTAATAATATTTATTAACAAATATTTGACATAATGTATACTTCATTTAATTGCTAATTAAGTATATTCATAATAATGTAATAAAAAATGCACTTATTTATTGTTTG